ATCAGGAACAATAAGGAGAAATTACACTGATGCCAAGAGATACAAGACATAATATATGAATACTACAAAAACTCTATGCACACAACGGAAAATGTGAGGAAATGGACAATTCTTGAAACACACAGTCTTCCAGGCTCAACCAGGAGAAAATAGAATTCTGAACAGACAATATCAAGTACTGAAATGAAACAGCAATAAAAACCTTCCTAAAGAAAAGTCCTGACCATATGGTTACACCTGAATTTTAGCATACCTACAAGAAGAACTGGTGCCTATCCTGCAGAAATTATTCCACAACATCAAAAGGATGGAATTCTCCCAACACATTTTATGAGACAAACATAACCCTGATACCAAAACCAGGAAAGGATGCAACAAAAAAGAAAATACATACAATATCCTTATGAATATGATGCAAAAATTCTAAACAAAATCCTACCCAATCGAATCCAGGTGCTTGTCAGAAATAATTCATCACAACCAAGTGGACTTCATCTCAGGGATGCAGGGATGGTTCAACATATGCAAATCTATAAATGTATTATCATCATATAACAAAGCAAAACACAAGCCTATGATCCTACTCATAGATGCGAGAAAGCATTTGAACAATTCAACACCTTTATATAAGAACACTCACAAAAGTTATAGCGGGCTTACCTAAAAATGATATACAGCATATATGAGCAAACCCAGCCATGTCATACGAATGGGGAAAAATTGAAAGCATTCCCACTTAGAACTGGAACAAGACAAGTTTCTCACTATCTCCACTTCTGTTCAACATAGTGCTGAAAGCCTCGCTACAGCAATCAGACAAGAGAGCGGAATTAGGGCATCCAATGGGAGCAGAAGAGATCAAACTCTCACTCTTTGCTGATGACATGATATTATACTAGAAAACCCAGGATTCAACAAGAGACTCCTTGATCTGATAAATGAATTTGGTAAAGTCTCAGGAACAAAATCAATACACAGAAATCAGAGGCATTCATATACGCCAACAATAAAGTGAGAACCAAATCAAAGACTCAATTCCTTCAAAATAAAGTACCTTGGAATATATTTTACTGAGGAGGTAAGACCTCTACAGGAGAACTATGAACACTGAAAGAAGGAATAGCAGAGACATAAACAGATGGAAGAATATACCATGCTCATGGGTCAGCAGAATCAACTTGTTAAAATGTCTATCTACCCAAAGTGACCTACGAGTCAACGCAATCCCTATCAAAATACCATCATATTTCAAGATATAGAAAAAAATTTTATGCTTCTTATGGAACCAGAGAAGACCCGTATAGCAAATCAACCTAGGCAATAAAAACAAAATAGGAGGTATCAATTTACCAGACTTCAAACTATACTACAAGGCTATAGTCATTAAACAGCTTTTTACTGGCACAAGAACAGGGACATTGACCAGTGGAACAGAACAGAGAACCCAGATATAAACCATCTTCATATGCCAACTAATCTTGACAAAGCAGACAAAACATACACTGGGAAAAGAACCTTATTCAATAAATGGTGCTGGGAAACTGGATAGCCACATGTAGAAGACTGAAACAACCCACCACTTTCACCTCTCACAAAAATCAACTCACGCTGGGTAACAGACTTGAACCTTAGGTGTGAAACTATCAGAATTATAGAGGAAATGTTGGAATACTCTCCTAGGCATTGCCTAGGCAAAGAATTTATCAAGAAGACCCAAAGCAATCACAGCAAAAAAATAAACAAAGGGAACCTAATGAATAAAAAGCTTCTGCACAGCCTAAGAAACTGTCAAGAGAGCAAACAGCAACCCACAGAATAGGAGAAAATTTTGCAGCCCACATCTGATAGAGGCTGATAACTATAATCTATTTAGAACTCAGGAAAATCAGCAAGAAAAAAATCAAACACTATCAAAAAATGGCAAAGACATGAACAGAAACTTCTCAAGAAGACAGAATAATGGCCAACAAACATATGAAAAAATGTTCAA